GCTCCCAAGGCACTCTACAATTATGTTATTAGATCTCTCCCAAAGTGGGATTAGGAGCATAACAAACTTACTTAGAATTTCTCCATTAAGAAATGTATTCATTTGGAAATAGATTACCACTGGTCCTGTTGAAAGGAGAAAAAAGAAATAAACCAAATTTTCTTCTGGATGGTCTTTATCCTCTAACTAAGTCTTAATTAATATGAAGCTAAAGGTTAGAATACTCTCTTTTCTTGAAGCTAGTATGTAATAAAAATGCAAACAAAGTTAATAAAGAATACCTTTATCTTAAGCTTCTAACGTGACCAGATAAATGACGGTGATTCTGACCAACTAGGTGCGCTGTTAACATTTTAGGCCTTATAGTGATATTCTGAAATATATATGGCTTTAAAGTTTCTCCTATATTTGAAGTAGCTTGTAGCATTACATATTGCCCTGTTATTAAGAAATGTTAGTGTGTCACATGCCTGAGCTATCACTACCTATAAGTTCCTGTTGTTTATCTTTCAGAGTAGCATTGCACATTTCTGTCAACCAGATTAAACAGCTTTCCATAGTGGTGAGGTTTGAGAACATTCATTCTTTTTCTGAAACCCACCAACTGTTTTCCACATTAAGCTGTTAAGTTCAACAGGAGCTTGATGGACAACCTTCAAGAGTTTAATGACTCAAAGCCCACCCAGCTATTCATATATCCGTCCATTGATGTACATAGAATTTTACTAAATATCTACTATGCACAATGTACTGTTAATTTTTCAACTTATATGCATCTTTAACTTTGATGAAACATCATTTAATTCCAACAGTTTGCCTTAGACACCTCATTCTGAGATAAGGGGGTTAATGATAATCTAGGGTTTCCATAGGCATATATATGAGTGGTGTACTGGTTAAAGAAAACTTGTAGATTCTCCCTGCTGCATTAACAAGATCTCTAGCTAAACCTTGTTTACTCACCAGCACCCAGCACTTGATTTCTAAGACAAACACTTTATTAGGTTTAAATATACATACACATTACAATATACTAAAAAAAAATATATATATATATGTGTATGTGTGTGTATATGTCTATATATATATCTACATATAGATATATGTAGTAGTATACACACACACACACACACACACACACACACACACACACACACATTACGAAAGATCATGAAATTCCTAGAAGCAATACTTGGGAGTCAAGATGAAACATTCTTTTTTCTTATTTTCTCAGCTCAAGGCAATGAGGTACTGTGTTTGTCAAACAAATTTACAGACACCAAAATGTCTTGTGATTGGAAACTCTTCCTACGTTGGGTTAAATGAACCTGAACAACAGAATTCGAAGATGAATAAAACAATATATGGGTGGAATTTTTTCATTGTTATTGAATGCTTTAAGTGGTACAACCTACTGGTTAAGTCTGAGTTTTGGAATTTACATTCAGAGCCCACAATTTAACTAAACTTGTAAAAACTTTAGCAAGTTATTTAACACCTCTAACTTTCAGTTTATTCATCTGTAAACTAGGGATATCAGTTTTCTGTTTGAGTTGTTCTGAGGATTAAATAGGATTTGATACATAATAGTGCCCATAATAGGTGCTAATAAGGGGTTTAATAAAAACAAGTATTATACTTTGCTTTTATTAGTTTCCCTATTTTCCTTTCTTCCCAAATAAACTCAGCATTTTAAATAGAAGGCTTACAAACTTGTTTCTTACAAACAAGAAATTAGTCATATCTTTGATTTGATCATTAGTAGTTATGGGTTTTGTTGAAAAGAGTGAACTCCAATATTCACAGGAGACCCACACAGGTTTTAAGAGAATTATATTTGCAGAAACACTGCAAGCTTGGGCCTGAAGGAACAAAGGTAGTTCCAAAAGAAAAGGTCTTTGAACCTCAAAACCTCTACAAGAAGGAAGAAGGCTGAGAAAAGAACAAACACAGGCTAAATTTCAAGGAAAAGGAAAGAAGACTCAGAGGGTGGAACCAAAAGCCCAGAAGGCAGAGCCACTAGCGAGAGTCACCCCTGGAAAGTAGGACTACGTCTTCATTAAGGGAACTTCTAAACATTTGCCCAGATGGATTTCACACCTGCTATGAACCAGTTATTCCTCTGTACCCCTAACTCCCCCCTTTTAGAACAGGAATGTTCAGTAGCAGTTATCTTTGCTTGCCCCACCATTGGCTGTGTGTGTGTGTGGGGGGGGGGGCAGATTTAGTTCTTTAGTTCTCAGGTGTACAGATTGAGAGGACCTGTACTTAAGGAATCACACCTGAGGGGCACCATCTGTAGCTGGACCAGAGTTAGATGATGAGATTCTGGATTCAAGCAAATATTATAATGAGCTGAAGCTTTTGCAGGAGTGTTAGGAGACAGTGAGTGCATTTTGCATGTGGGAGCAAGGTAAATAAATTGTGGTAGACTTCAATGCTTTTCAACTAAATTGTGGTCAAAGAGGGGACAAGTCTCCCTTCAAAAGGTGGATCTTAATTCCTCTCTCCTTCTTTAGCTCCTGTATGAGCTGAACTTAGTGACTCACTTCTAACTATAGATATGGTGGAAGTGATGGGTGTTTAAGGCCTGAGATTAGGTCATAAAATGCACTGCAGACTCCTCTTGGTTCTCTCCCAGATACTTGCTCTGGAGGAGAACATTCAAACAGTCTCAGGTAAAGGTCCACATAGCAAGGAACTGTGGTCCTTGGCCAACAGCCATGTGGCTTTTCCATTGGGAAAAGATGGTGACCCATCTCAAGGGCAGAAATCTCCAGGCCAGTCAGGTCTTCAGGTGACAGTAGCCATGGATGATGTCTTGACTGCAACTTTGTGAGAGACCTTGAGCCAGAAACACTTAACTAAGCTGCTCCTGAATTCTTCACCCATAGAAACAATGAGGTAATAAAAGCTTGCTGTTTTAAGTTGCTAAATTTTGGGGTAGTTTGTTTAGCAATAGATACTAATGCAGGTCGCCAGGGATCATTTCTTTGTTAAAAGGTTTGTTGTATTAAAAGAAATTTGAAAACCACTGCCCCAAAACATGGCAGGAAGACAAAATTTATGTCTTTTCTAAGTCTTTCACAAATGAGATTTTAAATTCAGTAGCAAAGATCTAGGGAAAAAAATGGTCAAACCACAATTCTTTTAAATCTTCTTTGTTCCTCTCTGGGCTGAAAATTACCATTCTTGCTATGTGAATACAGAAATGACAATCTATATGTCTTGCTTTTCCCATTATTTCATTAAGTTCCCTAAGGCATAAATACAATTGGTAATTCCAGCCAATTTACAAATGGAAATTTTTTTAGGTATAAAAAAAATTAGATCTACTCGAAGTTATGCTGTCTTTATTTAATGGGGAAATTAAAACGAAAACCCTGGCATAGAAATGCAGCTCAGTACTTTTTACTTTTAAACTTTACAGTTAAAACTGGTCCTCTTTGGAGCACTTCCCAGAGAAATCTCAATATTTAACAACTCTGAACAAAACCTGAACTTCATCTCATTCTCTGTTACTTTATACTATCTGTTACTATAATCATTTGGTTAATAAGTTAGCCCTCAAAAGTGGAGTTTCTTTAGAAGAGGAAATATATCTATTTTGATCCAAATAATTAATGTGCCCTTCAAGTATTTATAAACACAGAGTTTAGATTTGCATTAAAGAAGGCACTGAACATTTACTCCCTCATGATGAATCCTCTGGTTAATCTCCTTTCCATTGGGAAAAGATTTCTTTATGGATTTATTTAAAGGATAGGTTTAAAGTTAAGCTATACTTAAATTCCTCAAAGTTTGCATTGCTTTTATAACTTGTACTTGCTTTTATCTAGGCCACTGGTGTAGCAGAGTTACTTAGAGTAGAATTCCCCTTTGGCTTCGGGCTCAACCTCTGTGATTAAATTCACAAGGGCACAACAAAAATGATTTACCAGGGCCACCTTAGGCAGTTCTATGCCTTAGTGCTTATCTTAGTACCTAAGTTGGAAGCCTAATTAACCCTAACACGGGCCTCATGTGTCTATGTTTGTTGAACTCTACCTTAAGGGGTCTGTGATCTTCATTATGCATAAAGTTACTAATTCATTTTGCATGTTAAATCAAGGTATTCTCTCTCATTTTCCATCACTGATATGTGACCGTTGCAATTCCACTAAGGGCTTGTAAGAAAACTAACAAATCATTTTAATGTGATTTACAAAGTCTGAATATTACTGTGCAGACAAAATTTTCAGCTTCAGTTTATAATCCACTTTTAGTGTAGTTTGGTACGTGTGCATCTATGTGCCTGCATTAGGTGTATGTCACATTAGGCTGCCAGATCACACATCACCGCAGAAGCTTGAAGTCTTCCTCCGCTGCTCTGAGTGTCAGGGTGCACAAAGAAAGAAAATATGTTTCTTGGCTCTTGACAATTCAGTCATGCCTTTCTTTTTTACACAGATACTCACTCTGAATTGGGGATCCTAGCTCAGCCCCATCTTTTGTCCTCCTTTAATGAAGCGTTACACTCAGAAATCACACAAAGAAAACTTACACCACCAAGACAACACTAGTTTGTTATTAAAGCTTTGCAAATTAGGGGCGCCTGGGTGGCGCAGTCGGTTAAGCGTCCGACTTCAGCCAGGTCACGATCTCGCGGTCCATGAGTTCGAGCCCCGCGTCAGGCTCTGGGCTGATGGCTCGGAGCCTGGAGGCTGTTTCCGGTTCTGTGTCTCCCTCTCTCTCTGCCCCTCCCCCGTTCATGCTCTGTCTCTCTCTGTCCCAAAAATAAATAAAAACGTGGAAAAAAAATTTTTTTTTAAAAAAAAAAAGCTTTGCAAATTAAATCTGTAAATGAGGTGTTCATTTTACCTCTGAAAGCCTGGGGGCAACTAGGAGTCACTCTGCCTTCACCCTTCTATTGTGAGCGTACTTTAAAGTACCTCCTACCTCCCTGTATCAAGGTCTCCAGAGAGAAGAAAAAGTATAGCCTTCTGATTATTTCAACTCACAGGACTTTGCAAGATCTGAGTAACTCGTTTCCTCTGCTCCATCATGTTGAAGTCTTGCCGTAGATCAGGAGACATGTTCCTCTCCCGAATGTATTCTGGGTCATTCTCATTGATGCGGTCAAAATATCTCTCTTTGTGAGGCATGCTGGGGGGAGGAGGAGTAGTGACCACACCTTGGCTGGCATCTGAACTCATGCTTCAAGTCGAAGGACTCCCTTTGTTACCTGCATTAATAAACACAAAGGAAGACATTCATGATAAGTTCATTATTAAATTCAGATTTTATGGAGGTCAAACAGAACTTTTTTTTTTCCACCAGAGGCTAACAGTGGCAGCTTTCTTTAAAAAGTAGCTTCTCAAAAAATATTAGAACAATTTCTTATTAAAGTAAAAATATCTTTGATTATAATGCTAAATTGGAAATTGATATTTTCAGAAGTAACGAAAACTTGTGATTCAATTATGTCATCAACTGCTAACTGAATTTTTAGAGGGAGCAACTATCAAAATCTCCAAAGTAAGATATCACATCTAGGATTGCCTGGGTGGCTCAGTGGGTTAAGCGTCTGACTTCCGCTCACGTCACGATCTCACGGTTCGAGCCCTGTGTTGGGCAGGTTCAGTTCAGAAACTGGGCCCGCTTTGGATTCTGTCTCTCTGCCCCTCTCCAGCTCATGCTCGTTTTCTCTCTCTCCCTCAAAAATAAATAAAGCTTAAAAAAAATCACATCTACATTTGATCTTAGCCAAAAGGCCGAGAAGTGATAGAAAAAAAAAAAATCACATCTATAATGGCAAAATTTCCACAATTAGTGAGTACTGTCACTAGAGCTTCTCTTTTGTCTTATTCACACATTTTTTTTTTATTTTAGACCAAACTTTGGCCATACTTAATGACCACTACATTTTATAGTGAATGTAATTTATTAACATGAGAGAAACACAGCTGTAAGTTTTTCATTTTTTTTTTTTAATTTTTTGTTCAACGTTTATTTATTTTTGGGACAGAGAGAGACAGAGCATGAACGGGGGAGGGGCAGAGAGAGAGGGAGACACAGAATCCGAAACAGGCTCCAGGCTCTGAGCCATCAGCCTAGAGCCCGACGCGGGGCTCGAACTCACGGACCGCGAGATCGTGACCTGGCTGAAGTCGGACGCTTAACCGACTGCGCCACCCAGGTGCCCCAGCTGTAAGTTTTTCAAATGATTCAACTTCCTAGAGGAAATGTAAGAATTATTCAGGTTGCCAGACTAAATAACTTCAGCACATAGTGCTACAAATCCAAGTAAGAAACAGCAAAAAGTTATTCAGAAACCGTAAGAATAACTGATTCACTTAATTATTAGGATAATCACACTTTTCTAGATAGATCCAGGAGGGAGAAAGTAAAGGCCACTTTCCTCTTAGGGATCTATATCTCTGATAAAGACCAGAGATACCTGGTCTCATCTTTAAAACACAGTAACAACCAGGGAGATTACTATATTTGTCTCTAATAATAGTCTTCTCTGATAGAATTCATCTCTAAAGTTACCTTGGTGCAACTTAGACCAAGCAAACTAATTATAAGACATTAAAAATTCTTGCACCAGATGACATGACACTATATAAAGAAAACCCTAAAGACTCCACCAAAAAAACTACTAGAACTGATAAAAAGAATTGAGTAAGGTCACAGGATACAAAGTCAATGTACAGAAATCTGTTGCATTTCTATACACTAATAATGAAGCAGCAGAACATTAAGAAAACAACTACCTTCACAACTGTACGAAAAATAATAAGATGCCTCGGAATAAACTTAACCAAAAAGGTGAGAAACCTCTGAAAACTATAAAATACTAATGAAAGAAATTGAAAACGACACAAAGCAATGGAAAGACATCCCATGCTCATAGATTGGAAGAACACATATTGTTAAAATAACCATATGATCTAGGGTAATCTATAGGTTTAGTGCAATCTCTATCAAAACACCAACTGCATTTTCCACAGAACTAGAACAAACAATCTTAAAATTTGTATGGAACCACAAAAGACTCCAAATAGTCAAAGCAATTCTGACAAGTTAAACAAAACAAGGCATCACAATTCCCAGACTTCAAGTGATAACATAAAGCTGTAGTAAAAAAAACAGTATGGTACTGACACAAAAATAAACACATAGATCAATGGAAAAGAGCAGAAAGCCCAGAAATAAACTTGCAATTTAATGGTCAGGTCAATTAATCTTTAACAAAGGAGGCAATAATATGCAACTAGAAAGAGTTTCTTCAACAAATGGTACTGGGAAAACTGTGTAGCGACATGCACAAGAATGAAACTGGACCATTTTCTTACACCATACACAAAAATAAACTCAAATGCATAGAGGACCTAAATGTCAGACCTAAAACCATAAAAATCCAGAAGAGGGCACAGGCAGTAATTTTTCTGACATCAGCTGTAACAACATCTTTCTAAATATGTCTCCTGAGGCAAGAGAAACAAAAGCAAAAATAAACTATTGGAATTACATCAAAATAAAGAGTTTCTGCACAGCAAAAGAACCTACAAAAAATAAAAGACAACCTACTGAATGGGAGAAGATATTTGCAAATGACATATTTGATAAAGTGTTAGTATCCAAAATAAATGAATAACTTACAGATCTCAACACCCCAAAACCCCAATAACCCAAGTAAAAATAGGCAGAAGACATGCTGAACAGACATTTCTTCAAAGAAAACATCCAGATGGCCAACAGACACATGAAAAGATGCTCAACATCACTCATCATCAGGGAAATGCAAATAGAAACTACAATGAGATATCACATCACACCTGTCAGAATGGCTAAAATAAAAAACTCAAAAGACAAGCGTTGGCGAGGATGTGGAGAAAAAGGAACCCTTGTGCAGTGTTGGTGGGAATGCAAACTGGTGCAGCCACTGTGGAAGACAGTATGGAGGTTCCTCAAAAAATTGAAAACAGAACTACCCATTGATCCAGTAATTACACTACTACTGGGTATTTACTCTAAGAATGTGAAAACATCAACTTGAAGGAATATGTGTACCCCTATGTTTATTGCAGCATTATTTACGATAGCCAAATTATAGAAGCAGCTTAAGTGTTGTTCATCAAAAGATGAATGGGTAAAGATGTCACACACACACACACACACACACACACACACACACACACACACACAC